CTCTTGACCTCGTGATCCACCCACCTCGGCCTCCCAAAGTGCTGGGATTACAGGCTTGAGCCATCGCGCCCGGCCTACAATAGAGCTCTTGAACTTATTCCCCCTGTGTAACTGAAACTTTTGTATTCTTTGACCAAATCTCTGTAATCCCTTAGGTAGATTTTTACTTACCCATTATTGGGTAATTTTTGTTTTCTTACATGTGTATTATTTATTTCTCACATGTATATTGGTTTCCTGCGGCTGTTGTAACAAAGTACTACCAACTGCATGACTTGATACAGTAGAAAGGCAGTGTCTCATGGTTCTGGAGGGCGGAAGACCAACATCAAGGTGTTGGTAGGGTTGGTTCCCTGTGGGAGAGTCTTCTATCCCTTTCTACCAGTTTCTGGTGGCAGCTACCTTGATGTTCCTTTCCTTGTAGATGCTTCACTCCAATTTCTGCCCCTCTTTGCATGGTGTTCTCCCAATGTCTGTCTTCACATGGAGGTGAATAGCCTACCAATCAAAAAAAGTCCAGGTCCAGATGGGTTCACAGCCAAATTCTACCAGACGTACCAAGAGGAGCTGGTACCACTCCTTCTGAAACGATTCCAAACAATACAAAAAGAGGAAATCCTTCCCAAATCATCTTATGAGACCAACATCATCCTGATACCAAAACCCGGCAGAGACTCAACAAAAAAAGAAAACTTCAGGCCAATATCCATGATGAACATAGAAGCAAAAATCTTCAATAAAATACTGGAGGTCTTCTTTCAAGGACACCAGTCTTATTAATTAATTAGGGGCCCATGCTACTCCAGGATGACCTCATTTCCATTTAGCCAATTACATTGCAAATACTTTATTTCCAAATAAGGTCACATTCTGAGTCCTGGAGGTTAGGACTTTGACATAACCTTTTTGGAGGGACACGATTTAATTTATAACAATGAGGAACAGAACAAATTCGTTTCTGAGCCAGGGCCTAATGAGAATTAGTGCCTTGTCACTACTCAAGTATGGTCCACAGTCAAGCAGCTTCTCCTCACCTGGGAGTGTACTGGAAATGCAGACTCTGGGATCCTGCCCCAGGCCACCGCATCAGAACCTGAATCAACATTATCCCCATGTGATTTGTCTGCACATTAAAGTATGCAAAATGGAGTTAGTGCACAAGCTTATTGCCCAGTAGCAGCCCTGGGGACACTGCCAGTTTTTAATCTATTGGTTATTAGGAATTAAGATCCTGAGAGAAACTGCCCCAGCCGGATATGTGGCTCATGCCTGTAGTTCCAGCTACTTGGGAGGACGAGGTGGGAGAATTGGCTTGAGCTTGAGTTCAGCCTGAGCCATATAGCAAGATTGTGTCTCTAAAACAAACCAAAACAAAAACAACCATTTGAAGAAACCAGCAACTGGAACAGTGGGACAGAGCCAAAGAGGAGGGGTTGGATTTGGGCTGTAGGTCTGCGGAGGTCTTAGAGAGGGTGGATGGGGAAGGAAGAGGAGGGAGCGGAACTGGAGCTGCTGGAGCTAACCCAGCTTCTTCCAAACAGTGCAGATGTTACATAAGCACTGTGGGCCTCACTTTCCTTGTCTGTAAAGTGGGCTAATACCTCCTATCCCAGTGACTGGTGTGAGAATTAAGTGTGAAAATATACCCAAAGTGTCCAGGACAGCATCTGGCAAGGATAAGCGCAAGATGAATAGTGGCTGAAGACACACGGATTGGGTCCAGCCTCAAAAAGGAAGCTGGGTAGGGGAGGCAGCTCATGTCCTCACTCATTCCACATTCAGCACCTCCAGTGTGCCTGATGCTATAGTAACAGGAGTAAGTCCTCCAGTGACTCATGGTCAAATGGAGGAGAAAATAAGTGTGTTTTCAAGCGTTAACAATGGAGGCTGATTCAGGAACTTCTCACAGTGTGGCCCACGAGTACCAGATGGGGCACTCTGGACCCAGCTTGCAACAGACAGGCTAATTCCAGGCTTCGTCACATGCTTTTATGCTCCTCAACTTCCTTTCTTCTCATCAGTTGGGTTCCAAAAAAAAAAGTGTTGGATGTGAGTCTGTAGCTGTCAGATTTAGCTGAGTCTAGCCATTTAAAAACAACAAAGCAGCTTCCATTCTGGAGAACATAATGGATAGATTGTTTAAGTTTCCAGGCAAAACTTTGAGGGGTAGGAGGGGCATACCAAACTGATGTCAGCAAACCTAGGTCTGAATGCAGGATGACTTGGCTAAGCTACTTAACCTCTCACAGCCTGAGTTTCCTCTTATTTTTTTTTTTTTCTTTTTTGAAACAGAGTCTAGCTCTGTTGCCCAGGCTGGAGTGCAGTGGTGCAATCTTGGCTCACTGCAACCTCTGCCTCCCAGGTTCAAGTGATTCTCCTGCCTCAGCCTCCCAAGTAGGTGGGATTACAGGTACCTGCCACCACTCCCAGCTAAGTTTTGTATTTTTAGTAGAGATGGGGCTTTCACCATGTTGCCCAGGCTGGTCTCAACTGCTGACCTCAAGTGATCCATCCACCTCGGCCTCCCAAAATGTTGGGATTTTGTAAGAGCTGTCGCACCCGGCCTCCTCCTCATTTTTAAATGGGTTGTTAATGGTACCTTCTACACAGTGCCTGGCACATGTTGAAACATTAGTATTTTGTAAAATTGAATCTTTCAAGTGGCAAGTGGACCTCCAGTTGCCTTTCCCTCTGGGAGACACTAGGTGTTACCCTGATTCTTAAAGAGATACCCTCTGCTCCCTGCAAGTTCTCAGATGCTAGGTGGGCTTCCAGGAGCCCCTGCAATGCTTTAGCATAGGCTTTACTGAATTGTGGAAGAGACAGAAGAAATTCGACATTCTATTTCTGAGTAATGAGCAAATTGCCATTTCTTAATGTTATTTCTAAGCTATTATGAAGAATTCAACAATCAGCACTAATAAAGAGAAATAAACAGCACATAGGAAGAACTTTGGGCACCAGCTTCAAACCCGTCCCGGATTTGGGCTCTGGGAATAATCCCATTTCCTGAAAATATTGCCTTTTTGCTTTCTATCTCTCACCTGCTCTCCAGTGGAGAGACTAAGAAAGGTTAAAGGGGAAGGAAGGAGACTCAAGTTGTGATCAAAGCAATTGAAAGACTTTCCATTATCCTGCTTTAGTTTTCATCATAGAACTTCTCAATTTCCAACAATCACAGTTTGTTTACTGCTTTCTCCCCATGCTGTAATCAAAGCTGCATAAGACTAGCAACATTGTTTGGTTCATCCTGGCATCCAGGACAGTGTCTGGCACATAAAAGCCCATGCTCAATAAATGCGGGTTGAATGCATAAATGAATACTCAAGAAGTTGCTCTAAACCCTGACTATAATTCAGCCACGCTGTGGGCTTTTCAAAAAAAATTCCGGTTTCCAGATTCTTCATCCCAGAAATTCTGATTCAGAAATTCTGGCGTGGGTCCCCAAAAAGAGCATTTTGAAAATATCTGTTTATATTTTTGGAAGGATCCATGAGAAATTAGTAACATCAGGTGCTTATAGGGGGTGGAATGGAGCAGGTGGGGACCACAGATAATAGGGAGACTTTTAACTGAATCTCCCTCTGTGTTTTGAAAACATGTGAGTAGTATATTACATACTGTTAAAAATTTAAAGAATAAAAATATTTAGTCCAGGTGATTCTGATATGCAGCCAAGGTTGAAAATCACCCATTACAGACAAGTTGCTAGTTCAAAGAGCAGCTGGGATTGGGCAGCACTGTTGAGAGGTGTGCTGCCTGCTCAGCTTGAGTAACAAACAGGCTGTCACTTAGGCAGGCTGGGAGGAGAATTTACTCTACCAGACATTGCTGGGTCCTGCAATCAGCTGGGGAGAATGGGAGGGAGTCATTGTCTGTTACTTATTAATTTATTTTTAGATGGAGCCTCGCTTTGTCGCCCAGGCTGGAGTGTAGGGATGTTATCTTGGCTCACTGCACCCTCTGCCTCCAAGAGTTCAAGCGATTCTCATGCCTCAGCCTCCCGAGTAGCTGAAATTACAGGCATGTGCCACCACGCCAGGCTAATTTTTGTATTTTTAGTAGAGATAGGGTTTTGCCATGTTGGCCAGGCTTATCTCAAACTCCTGATCTCAGGTGATCCTCCTGCCTCAGCCTCCCAAAGTGCTGAGATTACAGGCAAGACCCACGGTGCCCAACCTGTTTTCTGTTATACCAGGTGCTCAGGGACTTCAAATCCTGTGTTTGAGTAACAAAGAAAAGAAGTTTTCTGTGCACTGAGATAGCCAAGTGCTCAAAAAGAAGCCAACATGTCCATCCTTAATTAGTAATCAAAGGCTTATGAAAAAACCAAATTTTTTTTAATCAGATTGGAAAGATTACAAGAATAACATCTAACCTTGGGGAAGGTTTGGATAAAGAGTCTTATATACTACTTGTAGGAGAAGAGAGCTACAGCCTTTTGGGAGAGCAATTTTGGAATTCAGACCAAAATTGACCTTTGTTAACCTCAATAGGGAAGGCACCAGCTTCAAGAGGCCAGAAACCCAGCAAATAAGACATAGGGTTTAATTAGCGGCTTACATACAGGGGAGAGAGTCAAGTGGCAGTGGGTTGGACAAGATATCCACCTTATATCCAGTCCAGTTGTGGCAGGCTGGGCAGGAAAAACACAACCACCTGCAAACTGTGTGTAGTTTTAGCATTTTCACGTAACATCTTCCCCGTAATGAAATCCACCTGACAACTTTCAGGTAACCCAAAACTCAGGGCTTCAATCCTTATGGCCCATGTTCCATGGGATGGGCTGAGGTTCAGGTGTTTCTCATAAACAAGAAATGAATCTTTGTATTGGCCACTCCTGGATTCCCTAGCTTGAAACACACATTCAGGTGCATCTGCCACACAGGTTTATTCTAATTGTATGCTTAGATCAGGGGCATTTACCCTGCACCTTAGTAATGGCGTGGTAATTCTTGGATTTAGTAATTGGGAGTTTATCCTATGGAAGTTTATATGGTTTGGCTCTGTGTCTCCACCCAAATCTCCTCTTGAATTGTAATCCCAAAGATAATCCCCAGGTGTTGGAAAGTGGTTGAATCACAGAAGCGGTTTCCCGCATGCCGTTCTCGTGATAGTGAGCGAATTCTCGCGAGATCTGATGGTTTTATAAATGGCAGTTTCCTCGGCTCTCTCTTGCCTGCTGCTGCGTAAGAGGAGTTCGCTTCTTCCTCGCTTTCCGCTGTGATTTTAAGTTTCCTGAGGCCTCCTGCCCATGCTTCCTGTTAAATCTGTGGAACCGTGAGTCAATTACACCTCTTCCTAGTGTTAGGTGGTAATCTTTATAGCAGTGTAAAAATGAACCAATACAGAAGTATTCAGCCAAATGAGCAAATTTATAATGTAAGTGTTTTATATCATAGTATTTATAATAGTGATTATATTGGTTAGAAACTATAAACCATATTAAAGCCAACCAATATAGGATCATTTAAATTATGGTAGTCATCTGTCCCTTGTTATCCATGGAGGGAATTGGTTTCAGGACCCCCACAACAGAAACCAAAATCTGAGTATGTACAGGTCCTTTATATAAAATGGTACAGTATTTTCATATAACCTACTACACAGTGTTCCATACTTTAAATCATCTCTAGATTACTCATAATACATAATTCAATGTAAATGCTATGTAAATAGTTGTTACACTGTATTTTAAAATTTGTATTATTTTTATTGTTGCATCGTTATTTTTTGTTTTTGTGTTTTTCCAAATATTTTCCAATGTTGCTTCTTTAGACTCAGAATCCTCAGATATGGGTTGTGGGGCTGTTGTATATCCACACAAATAGAATGCCTTGACACCAGCAGAAATGTGAAAACAACCTGACATAACCTTAGACATGACAGGCACACTCAAAGACACAAAACTTGAAGCAAAGTATGTTGTATATACACCTGGTTAAAAACATAAACTGGTTATTCTATGGAAGTTGATATGGAGTATTAAGTATAACCACACATGGAGAAAATTTAATTTTAAATAGAATTTTAAATAAAATATTAAATTTAATAGAATACTAAAAATAATTACATGGAGTATAATCTTTTAAGATTGACTTGTGGCTGGGTATGATGTCTCACCCCTATAATCCCAGCACTTTTGGAGGCCAAAACTGGAGTTGCTCAAACCCAGAGGTTTGAAATAAGGGGCAATATAGTGAGACCCCTGTCTCTACAAGAATAAAAATAAAAATAAATTAGCCAGATGTGGTAATTCATGCCTGTAGCTGTAGCTACTCAGGGGGCTAAAATAGGAGAATCGCTTGAGCCCAGGAGGTGGGGGCTACAGTGAGCCATGATCACAGCACAGGACTCCATCCTGGATGACAGAGCAAGACACTTTTTCAAAAGAAAAAAGATTGATTTTTACAGTATATACATTTTTATTTTTGCTTATGTTTTTATAATGAACATGCATTCCTTGCTAATTTTCAAATAGCCATTAAAACTTTAAAACTTTGTCAAAGAACAGATACTGTAGATGCACAGCCTTATTTCTGGGCTATTCTGTTCCATTGGTCTATGTGTCTGTTTTTGTACCATTACCATCCCATTTTGGTTACTGTAGTCCTGTAGTAGTTTAAAGTTAGATAGCATGGTACCTCCAGCTTTGTTCTTTTTGCTTAAGGTTGCCTTGGCTATTCAGGCCCTTTTTTGGTTCCATATGAATTTTACAATAGTTTTTTCTAGTTCTGTGAAAAATGTCACTGGTAGTTTGATAGGAATAGCATAGAATTGATAAATTGCTTTGGGCAGTATGACCATTTTCATGATACTGATTGTTTCTATCCATGAGCATGGAATGTTTTCCATTTGTTTGTGTCATCTCTGATTTCTTTCAGCAGTGTTTTGTCGTTCTCCTTGTTGAGATCCTTCACGTCCCTTGTTAGCTGTATTCCTAGGTATTTTATCATTTTTGTGGCAATCGTGAATGGGATTGCATTTCTGATTTGGCTCTTGGCTTAACTGTTGGTGGTGTACAGTAATGCCAATGATTTTTGTGTATTGATTTTGTATCCTGAGATTTTCTGAAGTTATCAGCTAAATGAGATTTTGGGCTGAGAATATAGGGTTTTCTGGATATAGAATCATGTTGCCGGTAAACAGGGAAAGTTTGACTTCCTCTCTTCCTATTGAAATGCCCTTTATTTCTCTTTCCTTATTGCTCTAGCCAGGACTTCCAATACTGTGTTTAATAGAAATGGTAACAGAGGGCATCTTTGTCTTGTGCCAGTTTTCAAGGGGAATGCTTCCAGCTTTTGCCCATTTGCTGTGATGTTGGCTGTGGGTTTGTCACAGATGGCTCTTATTATTTTGAAGTATGCTCCTTCAATACCTGGTTTGAGAGTATTTAACATGAAGGGGTACTGAATTTTATTGAAAGCCTTTTCTGCATAGATTGAGATAATCAAGTGTTTTTTTGTCATTAGTTCTGTTCTTTCATTTTCTTTGGTCACTTCTAAATGAGCATCACTGATGGAATTTATTAGGTTTCATTTCCTAGTTCACACCTACATCATTCCTCACAGATGAGACTTTGCTTACTTTTAAAGATCCTCAGAAAAGAGGATTTTACAATTTCTCTCCATTACTACTTCCTCCACCTATTTAAATGTTATAGGATAAAAACTGTCTTCCCCAAATTTGTATGTTGAAGCCCTAATTCCTGGTACCTCAGAATGTGATTATATTTGGAGATAGGCCTTAACGTGGGTAACTAAGTTAAAATGAAGCCCTAATCCAATTTGACTGGTGTCCTTATAAGAAAAGGAAATGTGGGCACAGACATAACAGAGTGAAGAGACCCCATGAGGACACAGGAGGAAGATGGCCATCTAAAAGCCAAGGTCAGAGGCCTCAGAAGTAGCTAGCCCTGACAACACCTTGATCTGGACCTTCCCATCTCCAGAGCTTTGAGAAGATAAATCTCTGGTGTTTAAGTCCCACAGTCTGTGGTGCATTGTTACGGCAGCCCCAGTGAACTAATAGTCAAGATAACACCGTGTAGGGGAGTGTCTCCAAACACAGTCCTCCAGTCAGCAGCAGCAGGAGCACATGGCAGGTGTTTGTTACAGTGATTCCTAGAGCTACTGAGTAAGGGTCCCCATGGTCAGGCCCTGTTGGATGGAAATTCCTCTGCAGGGCTGTGGAGCACAGAGATCATAAGCATGGGCTGTAGAGTTGGTGCAGGCTGTGTTCACACCGGAGATGTCCCTGACAACTAGGGTGACCTTACAATTTGTCACCTACAAGGCAACCATTTACAAGATGAAAAGGGGTGCTCTTAATAATGATTATGAGGTAACAGTATTAACTGGGACTGTCCCTGACACACAAGGACCTGTGGTCTGATTAAAACCAGAAGCTGCATGACTGAACAAATCACTTAACATTTCCAAGCTCCATCGAATCATCTGTAAGATGTGACTAATAGCATCAATCCTTCAGGGATCTGGTGAGGGGACAAGAAATAACATCTGTAAAGCTCTTACATGCTACAGAGCAATTCCTCCCAGGCCTCCGTACTAGCACATTAGGCTGAAATTATTACACAATGGAAAATTTCCTCCCATGTCATCATTTTCTGGCCTGTATGGATATAAACAACCATTTGATAATTGCATTTAAACTTTTAAAAAGTGCATATTAACTTAATTTCCTTCAGAAATGAGATACATTATAGGAAGACCAACAGAGTATTATATAGCTGTCTTAGACTTTCAGTTGAATTAATTTGTGTTTTCTGAATGACTTATCCAGCTTAGCTGATGATTATAGTTTTGGAAGTTCTATTCTTACATCTTTGGAATAATTATTGTATGGGACTTTATAGCTTTTTTTTTGTTTGAAATGGAATTTCACTCTTGTTACCCAGGCTGGAGTGCAATGGCATAATCTCTGCTCACCACAACCTCTACCTCCTGGGTTCAAGTAATTCTCCTACCTCAGTCTCCTGAGTAACTGGAATTACAGGTGTGTGCCACCAACCCAGCTAATTTTTTGTATACTTTGTAGAGATGGGGTTTCTCCATGTTGGTCAGGCTGGCCTTGAACTCCTGACCTCAGGTGACCTGCCCACTTTGACCTCCCAAAGTGCTGGGATTACAGGGATGAGCCACTGCACCTGGCCTTTATGGGTTTTTAAAAGTCTATTAAAAAAAATCTAACTGATTGGCAGAACTCTCTATCAGCTCAGGAATTCCCAAATCCATGTGTGCTCACCCAGGGTGAGTGAATAGGCAGATTGTGAAGTAGGTCAACTTACAGCACCTGTGCCTTCAAATACTGGTTTTAACATGTAGAGAGCTGTGTGACCTTGGGTACATCATGAAAATGTCTCAAAGCTTAAAATTCTTGAGCTGAGAGATGGCTATTATAGTAGTGTGCATCTCACAGGGAGGTAAAGGGGGTCAAATTTGAGAATGCATTTGTGCTTTCCTTAAGGCTGGCCCCAGCAGGGTGATGCTTCCAAATAAACAAACAAACACTCTCATTCACAGTTGCTACAAAGAGAATAAAATACCTGGGAATACAACTAACAAAGGACGTAAAGGACCTCTTCAGGGAGAACTACAAACCATGATCAAGGAAATAAGAGAGGACACAAACAAATGGAGAAACAGTCCATGCTCATGGTTAGGAAGAATCAATATCGTGAAAATGGCTATACTGCCCAAAGTAATTTATAGATTCAGCACGATTCCCATCAAGCTACCAATGACTGTCTTCACAGAACTGGAAAAAAACACCTTAAACTTCATATGGAACCAAAAGAGAGCCTGCATAGCCAAGACAATTCTAAGCAAAAAGAACAAACCTGGAGGCATCATGCTACCTGATTTCAAACTATGCTACAAAGCTACAGTAATCAAAACAGAGATATAGACCAATGGAACAGAACAGAGGCCTTGGAAGAAAAGCCACATGTCTACAACCATCTGATCTTTGACAAACCTGACAAAAACAAGCAAGGGGGAAAGGATTCCCTGTTTAACAAATGGCGTTGGGAAAACTGGCTAGCCATGTGAAGAAAGCAGAAACTGAACCCCTTCCTGACGCCTTACACTAAAATTAACTCCAGATGGATTAAAAATTTAAACATAAGACCTAACACCATGAAAACCTGAAGAAAACCTAGGCAAAACCATTCAGGACATAGGCATAGGCAAGGACTTCATGACTAAAACACCAAAAGCACTAGCAACAAAAGCCAAAATAGACAAATGGGACCTAATTAA